TGCGCTGATTAGGCCTCAGCTTGAGTATTATGGCAAATTCTGGGCACCACAGTTTAGAAAAAAATGTGGAGAAATTGGAGCGAGTCCAGAGAAGAGCCAACAAAAATGATTAAAGATCTAGAAAACATGACCTATGAGGGAAGAATGACAGAATTGAGTTTTAGTCTAGGAAAGAGAAGACTGAGAGGGGGCATGATAGCAGCTTTCAAATACTTAAAAGAGAGTTACAAGGAGGAGAGAGAGAGAAATTATTTTCCTTAACGTCTGATAGGACAAGAAGTAACAGGCTTAAATTACAGCAAGGGAGATTTAGGTTGGACATTAGGAAAAACTCTCAGGGTGCTTAAGCACTGGAATAAATTGCCTAGGGAGGTTGTAGAATCTCCATCACTGGAGATATTTTAGAGCAGATTGGATAAACATCCATTAGGGATTATTTAGATAGTGCTTGGTCCTGCCTTGATTGCAGGGGACTGGACTTGCTCACTCACAAGGTTCCTTCCAGTTCTAGTCTTCTCTGATTCAGTGATTCCAGAATTGGCCTTTTTAGATGAATCCTCAAGAACCTCATAAACTGAATGTTATAGGAGTTGGTGACAAAAATTCAACAAGACCTAGCCTTTTGCTATTTTAAACTACTTCATAGTGGCAGAATGTCAGCCTATTGTTATTGTCATGCTGCTGTTAATCAGATGAAATTATATTGATGATTGATCAATGTTCATAAATATATTGGTAGTAGGCTGAAATCTATATGATGTGCTTAAACCATAGACTGAAAAAGAGCCAATGTATCATTTTACAGAGGTGGTATGTTAGTAAAATAGTGTTTTAAAATATTACATTTTTTCCTTAGATGCAGCTGAAATTGTTAAATTGGAAATAATTGAACCTGAAGAGACTTATGTCAAAGCACAAATAGGTATCTATCTGAAGAATCTTTGTGAATGTATATTGTTTTGTTTTGCTCTCTATATGGTGTAGTTGAGTTTTTTGAAACTCAGAACTGTTTGCAAGTTCTCTTTGCTCAGCTCCATAACTCACTGTTGGGCCAAGTGTTGCTATGTGGCTTCCCTTCAGATGAGTCATTGTTTCTAGTGAATTGCATGAACAATCACTGAGTTCCCCCTGTTCAAGAGGAAGCTGAGTTGCTCACTATGGCCAGCAAAAAAGAGTTTTAGTTGTTTTTAACCAGCTTCCCTTTTCCTGGTTCTGTAGACCTTCAAGCCCTGTTGGATGGCTGAGGCCTGGTCTACACTAGGAGTTTAATTCAAATTTAGCCGCATAAGGTCGATTTTTTTTTTTTTCTAAACAATATTCTCACTCTACCAAGCCCTTTTTGTTGACATTAATGGCTGCTGAAATCAGTTTTGGAGTCACACAAAATTCAACCTTGCATGTTCAAATTTTTGGAAGTGTAAACCCAGCATTGAGAAAGTTGAGGTTCTTGGCCCTCAGGAGACATCCCACAGTGTCCTACTCTGGTCAGAACTTGCACCTCTGCTGCTTTCCAGATGAACAGGAAAAACCCCAGGAAAGTTTGAATTGCATTTCCCGTGTGGCCAGCACACCTCAGAGCAGGTAGCACACCTGAGCAGCATATGTGGCCATGACTTCCATGAGATCAAGTTCCGTGAGTCCCAGCTCCCAGGTGCTCAAAAGAGCACCAGCATGGAGTATGCAGGAGCTCTTGGACTTCATTGGGGCATGGGGAGAGGAATTCATTCTCTCTGAGCTCTGACCCAGCAAACAAAACACTGATATCGACATGAAGATAGCATAGTATCTGGTGGAGAAAGGATACTCCAGGAATGCTCAGCAGTGCCATGTGAAAATAAAGGAGCTGAGGCAGTTATACCAGAAGACACAGGAGGCAAACGGAACATGCCACTGCTACAACCAGCTTCCTAAGCCAGATAGGTTCAACAGGAGAGATTGCAAGAGTCCCACATCAGACTATTCTATATGTTAGTGGTATAACACACTTCTCTGTGATGAGAGACCTCTGTTCAAAACCATTCTCTACTTCCGGAAGAAGGTCTCCCATGTCCTACGTGAGTTTGCTAATCACTGAGCTAAAAGTTACAAAAACAGCACCCCAGACTCCTCCATCCAGATTTTAACGGGATGCAGTTTGGTAGTCAGCCACTGAGTAAGCCTACTGGATCTGGCCACACACACAACTTGGGCAGATGAGTGTCTGTCTTTCTCAAGTTTGTGAATCACTCTGGGACTTAGGTGTTCAGGTACCTACAGAGATGCAGTATGTTCAGAGGCAAAAATGTAGGTGCCATTAGAATTTTTACCCTGAAAACATAGGTACCATGTGAGGTCAGTCACCTCCCTGGTTTGGTAGGAGTTTGAAGATCACAGTGGTGCCAAAACTGAAACTTGGGCACCTAAACCCCAGATCTTTCTGGATCTAGGCCTGAACCACCAAATAATACTCATGGAGTTCTAAAGTCAGGCAGCTCTTGTCCTCTACATTTATGTTGAACACAGCGCATAGCAATAACAAAACCAAGAATGTTTCTCTGATAATGAAATGCCTGTGCTATTAAATTAACCTTACAGTATTTGAGGGTCTCTAAACTGATGTCTGTAGTAACACATGGGCAAATGTAATAGTAAAATGTCAACACTGGGAGCTGACACAGCTGAAATGTTTCATCATTGGACAGAAAATAGCTTGTGATGTAGGGATATAAAAATGGAGGAATATGTCTTCTCATATGGAAGAATTGTGTGGAGATGTGAGAAAAGACTTTTGTAATCTGGTGTGCCACCTACTCATCACACATGTAGCTTGAGTGTATCTCCTTAGTTACATAACTGGGTTATATTAGGCTTTTGAAAAAAATGACTCATCACCCCTCAGCTGCAGAACATCTGAATATCTATCAGGTGAAGCCATCCAAATGCATTGCTAGTATCACAACAGTTAATGGGCTCAAAATGTTGTAAAGAGGAAATGCCTGTTAATTTTCAGTACATTTGCATGGATACTGTAATACACAGAATGCTTGACTGTGTATTTTGACATGCTGGGAGCTGCATTGAAGATTGTCCTATGGCATTCACCTTGTATCTCTGGCAGTCCTACTCCCCTGTGCATAGGGAAGGTGTATACTATTCATGTGAAGAGATGTTAATTTTCATATTCTGTTTTGCCTAGGTAAAGAGGTGACACTCAACTGCACAGTTTTCTTGGGTTACTCAGGTGCTGCCAGTTTTGAGTATACCCTGTACTGGGCAAACAAAAATATAAATTCCTGTTCAGAGAGTACTAAGGAGGAATATTCAATATGTGAAAAGGAAGATGTTGTTTTGTAAGTATGTTTGTTGCAAAATATTTTACTTCTGTGTCTGTGCAACATAACATTCTACAGTTTGTGGCCTGCAAGTTAAGTACAGTAAAACTCCGATGGTCCGGCATCTGCTGGTCCGGCACTCCTGATGGTCTGGCACCATCAGGAACCCGGAAGTGCTCCGGGCAGCCAGACCATTGGAGCTGCTCTGCTCCCAGTTTTCCCAATTCAGCCACTGCTAAAACTGACCAGCGGCTGAATCTGAGAAGCCGGGGGCAGAGCAGCTGAAGTGCTGCCGGGGAGGTATTGTAGTGCTGGCCCCCGGGG